TATTGTTGAATGTACATAAATATAATAATATGATGTCAAATAGTGGTTTTTACTTAATTTAAAATCGAGAAGTTAAATACGTGGTTCAAATTTATTTTTTTATTTAAAGATTTAACATTTTTAATAAATATATTAAAAATGTTAAATCTTTAAATAATAATTCCTGAGCTATAATAATGAGGTAGAATAATAATTCCTGAGCTATAAAACTAAAATAATACTTCAGTTGCGGGCTCATCAAGTAAATATTATTGATTAAATCACAATGAATCATATATTTCTGGGACACTTTGTCCTAACCTAATAAATAATTTTTTTTTTCCAAAATTTTTAGTCCAACTTAAAAAGTCAAACTTAAAAGTGTGAGAAGTGTTCCTTTGAATATTATTTCTACTTTATAAGGCCCGTTTACTTAATAACTTAGTTTCAGGTGATTTTATTATAAATTTTGACTACGTGATTGCCTCGATATGAGAATATAATCATATCTCTAGTGTGGTACCAGGAATCTCCTTGTTCACACGGCCTTGTGTTGGTTCTGCGTTCAGTCACGTTTATGATATTTTAACCATACAAAATGGTTGCAATGTCCACGTTCGTTCAAAATTTTATTAAAAAATTTCACGTTCGTAACCCGGTTTTAAAACATTTGCAGTACTAACCATATTTATTAGTTGCACAATAAATATATCTAGGATGTTTCCCGTACATATTTTAGATGAAAGTTACTCACCATGGAACTTACATCAACCTTTTGCTATTGTATATTGGTGTCCCGTTACTTTGGATACTTTTTCTATAGAACAACATTCTAAAACATCATGTTCAAACGATATCACTGATATACATTTACATATTTTAAAACCAAGCAAATTGTTTTAAGCTGTCAGTCATTTGATAACGATAAGAACCAGATTTTATAATTGTGTTTTATAAAAATAATGCTATAATATTCATTTATGTGTTTCTACTTCTTTTTGTTTTGCAGACAAATATTTTTCTATTGTACTTACCAAGGAAACAATCATTAAAAATTTATCCTTATTTTTATTTTCGCAACAGCAATAGTAGTTCATTAAATCTGTTTTTGCATAATGCATGTCTCGTCAACATCTTATTTTCTGCCTTAATTGTAACCTACTTTCTATATTGTATATTAATAAATTAAGACTCAAAAATGTTTTTTTCTGATTTATTTAAAATTTAAAACCCAAAACTTTTAAAGCCTATTTAGGGAGGGAACTTGTCGATAAGAAATGTGAACGGATATTTTAGAGCTACCACGAAACGTATACCACAAAAAAAAAAAAACACTTATAATATCACTTATAAAATCAAGGTTTCTTGATATTTTAAACGATTTCTATATCTTCTTAAATTCGCGTTAACTTTCTAGGAATTAAAACGATATATGTGTAACTTTTTAAAAACAAAACATTATTTGTAATAAATTGAAATAAAAATTAATTGAGATTATTTTAAAAATAATTCGATGTTACTTCTGTTCATTATTTAGTCAGTATGTTAAATACAATAAATTAAGGCGATAAGTAAAGAAATTGTCACGAATTATTTGCAAATAATAATCAAAAACTTAAATTATGTAAATTAATGAATAATAGGAGTCTTGAAAATCGGAAACAATTATTATTGTCAGCAACCGTAATCACGGGCAGATAATCTTGTCTTTTAATTTAAAAATAATAATCTTCTGCAATTTTCAAATTCTTAGTTTCTTTAAAATATATATTATTTTATCAAATACATTTAATGTACCTTCTCATCCTTTACGTATAATTTTCCTGAATATAAATGGATTAAAATAAAAAGACAATTCAAACGGACAACAAAAACGCCGGTTAAAATTCTACACCGGTATTAAACTTTTCAAAGCAAGAAGAACAAACTTCCGTGGCATTCCAAGAAAATTAGTTGTCTTTAAAAAACGTTTTACAGCATTAAAATTATTATAATAGTAACATGGTAGTTAATTAGTTATACAATTAAAACGTTGAAAAAAAATTGAAATAAACTAATTTAATAACCTTATGGTCCTATTTAAACGTTGAAGTTAAGGCTATTTAACTCTGAATCAAAACTTCTCAATAATGTCTTCCTCATACTACACTTTTTGCTAACTGTATATAAAGCAAAAAATAAGTACAACCACTTCTCCTATAGTAATAAGCTTTCTATCTTTTCAATGGAAAATTTCCTTTTGTTAGAAACGGCACTGAAATTTACTAAGAAATACCACAGGGACTTGATATCCTCGAAGTCGCAAGCATGAATCGTTTTCTTGTATGTATATATATTTATTATTTTATCACAATACTTATATTTAACTTAATAAACCAAAATGCCGTTAAATAATTAAAATATTTCCTTTTAAATAATTATGTGTTATTTGTTATATATTCGGAAAAGTAATTATCCTTATAATACATTCTTGATGTTGATATGTCTTTAATTTAATTGGAAACCTTTCAGTTATCGGTAGATAGTTATTGCTGTAGAAATTTAAAATTAATAATCAAAATATCATGGAAGGTTATTTACTTGTGTGTAAGTAGATTATGATTATTTTCGACGAATACGAGATGTTTGAACGCTATGTTTGTTGAGAAACTCGTTAACGAGGTTGTTGAGAGCTTTTAGGAATCTCTTCATAGCGCAGTGCATTAATTATACTAAATGATAATTGTAGGGCATATAATGTAATAAAAATATAGGTATTCATGACCAGTGGCGGCCGGTGGTGCACTTTACTAAAATATTAAAATTAGAAAATGCAACAAAAAAATAAAATATAACGAGATTTCAATCATGGCCCAATTCGTCATACATCGGGTGCTCTCGGTAATCTTCGGTCGCTCGTGCGGCGCTCGAGAACCGACTCATTACTCGGTACATTTCTATGAACGATCTTTTGTTTCACGCGTCAGGCGTATTATTTCGTATCTCATACAAGATGTATTAGGAGTCCTCGTGCACTCGCCGAAGCGCACGATATGAGTTTAGTAAAGCTTTTTGATCATAATTAGGAAATTTAATTTTTTATACGTTTTTATATGTTTAAAAAATAAATATTAAAATTATAATTTAAAATAAAGATGCAGTAATATTTAGTAATTTTTAAATCTTGTGAATTGGTGGTTCAGCGCACGAGTGCACTTAAGGTACAGTCGCCACTGTTCGTGACTCTTTATTGATGATACTATATCATAGATAGCTAGCACAAGCATACTGTCATTCAAAGCTTTGGAAAATTTATGAAAGCGTTAAGAAAGTTTAGTTGTGATTCATGCTAATCATTTCAGTCGCTAAAATTATTTTCAAAGGCAATCTCGAAAATAATGTTATTTGAAACTAAGTTGTGAAATACATAAAATAAAGAATAGTATCCCATAACTCTACTTACAATTTAACTGATTTTCTGTTTTGGTCCATTCATTATATTGATAGGATTACTAGTTTAATTACGTTGAAGGGCTTAGTGGATAATGTTTAATGGACAGGTTTTCAAAACATCTAAACTAAAACATTAAAATTTTGGTGTCATATATACCTACGTACATGTTCATGTAAGCATATATATATATGTATATATATATTAATTTCACTGTAATAAGAAATTGAAGGAATAAAAAATAGATAGCTGACGATCCTTGTTGACCTTAAATGAAATTGTACCCGGGACATGACTGTGTTTTATTGCTAAGGGTTTAGATTGTTCTACCATGACCATTTGAAAATATATTTTATGCTGAGCTGAAAATAGTCAAAGTAATTTTAGGGAAATAAGTCGAATAATTGAGTCGAATATAAATACATTTGTATATTTTATAAATAAAATAAAAACCTTTGAACACAATGTTGTTGTTAAATTTTCACCAGATTCAAAAGAGATAAAATAAGTCGTGTAATACATATTATACATATATAATATGACTGAATTTGTAGTTTACTCTATAAAAATTTCCTTGTTCAATATTTCTTTTGTATATTTTATAGTTTCTGTCGATTTTTAACACAAATCTGTACATTCTCATAGAAATTTGAAATGAAAGTTTTTGCATGAAAAAGTTCAGTAGAATCGTAATTAATTTCAAAGTAATTTATTTTTTATGGAGTCAAAATAAAAATATTGTAATAAAAGTTAACAAAGCATTTTATCTTGACAATTTTTAAAACGTCTAAATGTACTTTATACGGACCCTCAATAAAATGAGATAATTTTTCACGCTAATCCACTCAACGACAAAAGTAAAATTGATTTTGTATCTCATCCCTGTGTAAATTTTGTTCGCATTTTTCCGGAACACAACAGGAATAATAATTAATTTACCTTTATATTTGGACTTTTCCCTACAACAAGGTAACACACATTAATTATTTTTAAACTTTCAATTTATCTGATGATAATGTTTTTAATTAGTTTGATTTCATTAGCGTCTTTTTTATGGTGACATCTCTTAATTCACTTTATATGCATCCAATTTAATAACTCAAATTATTCTTGACACTCAATTTTTTTTTATGACTTTCAAACACTAAGCTGTTTTTACTTTTATATGACCTCTACGTATATTTTATTTTAATATTATTTCAAGAAAGAAAAAAACATTTTAACAGAAATATTTGCACAATGTTGTCATCCTTTTGATTTTTATCACAGAAAAGTATTTTTCTAATCTAATATATTGTATATGTTGTTTTCAGACTATACAAAAACAGTTATAATTTAATAACTAATGTTAAAAAAAAATCAGTTCAACACTGGCTGTATAGCGGTTTGGAAATGACTACTATCTCTTAAATCAATAATAAAAAAAATATTTGTTTCAGACATTCGACATGTTTGGAATCTTTTGCTTAAATCCAACATGACTTTACCCAAGATTGGAATGTAAAATACAAAATGAAAATACCAGTCGTGCGAATATGATCTAAATGCCTAATTTAAAAAAAGATAGCGCTGCGAAACGCACGCGCCGACTATGTTTGACTCGACTAAAGGCGCATTGCTAGTGGCGCCATCTCTTGCTAACAGCTCTTGCAGCTTAAACAATGGTTGGCCTTCAACTTTTCCAGCTACTGAGGATATTTTGAAGGCACTCTTCATATTTGCCCTTTCGATGGCCATAGTATTTGGTAATCTTGTACTGATATGTGTATTGAACAATCGAAGATATATCAAGTATATTGATAATCAGGTAATAAACTTTATTGATACATTAATTTTTTATAAGTATCATTAATAAAAAAGTTTAAGTATTATAAGTACCTAAATAAAAATGTATTCTATGTGATATTTGTAAGGGAGATAAATACTGTCTGTAAATCAAGACCCTCCTACTCGTGGCATAAAAAACTTGGTGTTTGGCATTTATCCATTTACAGAATATTATGCTTTTCTCATAAAATCCATTCTTAGTATTAAATTATTCTAAGATATCGTTTATAAAACATTATATTGAAATAAATAAGTAATTTTATTAAAATTTTGATTTTATTCTGAGATTAAACTAAGCCAATAAAGCATTCATCTTTATAAATTTTCATGATATCATAAAGTTGTTAATAAGATTATACTGCTATAAATGTTCATTACAGCCCAGATATCTCCTGACGTCATTAGCTCTAAACGACTTATTTACGGGGATACTTATAGCTCCTGTGGCTCTGTTGCCGGCATTGTACAAGTGTTGGCCATACGGTGAAATATTCTGTCAAATACAGGTAAGAAGCAACCTTGTTTAATAATGATAGTTACCAGTAATTTATGTTGGTTTTATTTTATTTACAAAATTAGAGTAATTATAAGTCCGTGAGAATTTAATATAAGTTAAATTTTATTGTAATTAATTATCTTATTTATTATGTAAGTATCTATAGTATGTAAATGTTTATATCTATAATGTGTATGTATATTATATTATTATATAAGTATATACTTATGGAATATTTATTTTTGTATCGTATATATACATATATATTGTATCTATTTTTTATGTATTAAGTAATTTGTACACCCCTACCATCCTATCTCTCTCCTCTACCAAAGGTTGCCTGGAAGAGATCGCTGTTTTAGCGATAAGGCCGCCTATTTGTACATTTTCCTTTCTTTGTTTTTCTCTTATTATTTCTGTCTATATTGGTGTACATTAAAGAGTAAATAATTAATTAATTGCACCTTAAAGTTAATTAACAGTAGAGTTAACTTTTATAAATATATGGTGACTCAACTCTAACAAAGATCATCAAATCTAATTCCATATGATGGTTATAATTTAAAAAAACTTCAAAAGAGACATACATATAACATTTTATAAGTTTTATTTAATTTAGTTAAAGCTACGAGGATTTGACAAACTTTATTTAGACAAGTGACGATAACAAAATGAGTAAAGTTGCAAGTCAGAAAAAGTTAACAATTAAGGAAGCTAGGTTAATAGATAAATTTTATACTTACAATATAATGGAAGTTGGTGAAGTTACGTAGTTTTTATTGTAGTTAATTTAATGTATATTTGCTTGACGTTGAACTTACCTAACATATATTTTTTATTTCTATAGTTTTAAAGTGTTGTAATTATATCAAAATAGTACTCGTGGTACCCTCTATGTAAGTAATGTAAAATACGTTTGACAGTAAAAAATAAAACCATTTTTTCTTTGTGGTTCGGTCAGCAAGCACGTTGTTTTATACATATTATATAGAAACAAACACAGGTTCTTAACTTTTGCTAGAAAATTTACTCTGAATTATGTTTTAACACGTGTTGATATGGTTTTAGAAAGAATCTAAAATATTAATCCTTAGTTTTCACATCTAATATATATTTTTTAAATAAATAATTAAGATTAAAGCTCTCAATTCTGTTCAAATTGAGCAATAAAAATATCAACAAAAATAATTAATATGTCAGAGAAAAGCCATGTATTGTTACCATGGCTGCCAGAAGTGAATAGTACTTTTGAGTTAAATAATTGTAAAAATATTTATCAAGGTGAAAATCCAAATTATCTTCTCAAATTTAAAGAATTAGTCATAGCTCGTTTTTTTTCATTTCAAATAACTTTAAAAAAGTTTAGTTTTCTGCTTTCTGTTACAATATTTTTGGTAGTTAAATTTATTTTTGTTTCAGGCACTCTTGAGGGGAGCAGTGAGTCAACAAAGTGCCATTATTCTTGTCTGTATGGCAATAGACCGATATTTATATTTGTTACATCCACACACTTATCAAAAACATTCTAGTAAAAAGGTAGGAAAATGTTAAAATATTTTCATTGTATTTTTCAAGAGGATCTTTAAAACAATTTCTTTTACTTTCTGGAATGGGAATTCGGGAAATCTGAGGTTATGTTCAAAGACGGCTTTGTTAAAAACACCTTTATCCTGATTTTTTCCTTTTTAAAGAAGCTAAAGAAGTTCGTGGTTCTGGAATTTAAATGTGATTCAGGTAGAAATACCAAAGATGACTTATAATATATCGAACTCAAGATTTTTCTTGAAATCTTATTGGAGCAGTAGAATAGATCTTTGCTTTCTTAAGAACGATTTATTTGATTTTATATTTTATTATATTTTTTTTGTTACAGGGTTGCGTATTAGTAATAAGTATTACTTGGATATTATCAGTCTCTCTATTCGCCGTTATGGTCCTACCAAGATCTGGGTACTACTTTAATTCAACAGGTTTAATGGCCTGTGATGTTTTTCACAGTAGAATAGCGTTCAGGTAAATTTGAATCACGGTGTGACTAAAATTATTTTCATTATTTTATAAAACTATTTTCATGGATTTTTCTAGAATTTTGGCGTGTTGTACTTATTATTTTCCAACCACAATGGCTTTGATGTATTGCTATGGATCAGGATTTCATGTCAGTAAAACAAAAAGTAAATGTATTCAGGATCCAAGATCCAACGGAATGCCAGTGTCATGCGCAAAAAGTAACATTAATGAATTAGAAACGATTGTAAGTGAATCACATAATTTTTTTTTTTTTTTTAATATTTAGTTTGGTTATAAAAGAGTTTCTCTTTTACTCTTATATTTCTTTAAAATAATAATCAGTAACTTCACCATAAGTAAAAAGTATTATCTTTTCAGCAAATACAATCTCAAGTTAGAACACACAGCGTGAGTACCTCACGAACAATGGCGGCAATGTCCCTGGGATTTATTGTAATGGTAACCCCCGCTACAATCCAAGAAGTTGTAGCTGCATGCACTGGTTGCAAGGTTGAATTATTATAAATATGATTGCTCTCATATCACAATAATTTATATTTTTCACTTCCGAAAAAAATTTTTGCTTGCAGGTACCGCCGATTCTAGATTTTTTGGTTACTTGGTTAGCATTAAGTGATAGTTTCTGGAACCCATTTCTGTATTGGCTCTTAAATAGCCATTTTAGAAGAATAAGTAATGAATTAATTCAATACTATGTAAGTTTTTTTTAAAAATTGTTGTTTCGTTACAGAATTGTTTTTTAAACAAATATTAAAGTAACAACGACCCGTCTATTTTGACATTAGCTTATTTTTTGCAGGTGTGCTGTCGGAAGAAGATTAAATCATTTCAACATTTTGAGAAAAATACTGGTTGTTGTGGATCATCAATAACGTCAGATGGTTTGCATTCAAAAGGAGAGTTTGAAGGTCTTGGAGAAAAGTACTGGGGTGAAATACTTGAACGGACTGTCTCCTCAAATTCTCTGCATGCAATCCAGAAGGCATGTCATAGGGATCCTTTAAGATGCACTGGATCATTCAAAGGCTACACCAGAACTTGTAAACATGACACGAGATTTTTTGATGGTTATGGTCCAAACGATTACAGGCAGCTAGATAGATCATTCCAAATGGAACCATGTTCTAGACAGTGCAGTAGACTGAAAAGCTCAGAATTCTGTTTATTTAGACCTGGTCTGGAATGTAATCGCTCCAGATCTAATTTAAGCTTAGATGAAGGCAATTTTACCAAAGTCTGTAACGGTAGGCATCCAGAATTGTGAGAGTTCCGAAACTGTCCGGTTTTCGGGCATAGAAGTCGTAGTATAAGTACGTATCCCGGAGTTGAACAGTTCAATACCAACCTAAAGTGGAAATTTGATGAATCACCCTGTTCAGAAGATGATAACGTTCCAGACTTGAAGCATAATCTTAATCGTATAAGAAGTTTAAGCCATGATAAATCTTTTGGTGGATATAGTCTCAAAGAACATGATAATTTATTGGAAGTAGAAGTGAATGATACAGGAGAGGACGATGAAGACCTAAAGGATTACGGTGGAATAGTGTGTGACAATTTTGACGATAAAAATGAATATAATTGTCTGCAAAAGTTTTCAAGGAACTCGTCTCTCTCTAATAGAGAATTAGACGTTATAAAGGAAAGTTCCCGAAGCTCTAGTGATACAGAAGTAACATTTACTCGATGACTTCCGAAAGTGACTTTCCATAAATCTGTTAATGTTATAAATTTAGAAACTGCACCAAATGTCAAATATCAAAGTAATATGAACATTTGTAAGTGAGTTTGTTATGTGATTAGAGATGTAGAACTATGTATTGTAAATATTACGTGGTATTTTAATCAAATTTCAGAAAATTTTTGGAAAGTGGACTTTAGATTAGAGGCTTAATAAACAATATCATTTAAAAATAATAATAATATTTTATTTTATTTATGTAGATTTCTTTATATGGTGTGAAAGAAATTTCTGTTACGCGTACTCCAACAGTAAGTTTAATAAATACTAGTATATGTAGATCGAAAAACTTTTATATTTTTTGTAATAGATAATGAGGTAAATACATATTGTATATATTGTTAGAGAATGTTGAATGTCATAAAAATATATTGTTGTAACATGTTCCTGTAAAGTGATTTAAAATCGTGTACATATATTATATCTTTTTTTCTTAAATTGTAGAAGAAACGTGGATGTTAATTCAAATTAACATTAAAGTAGCAACTCCAAAAAACTGTTTGTATGTACCTATAGTTATGAAGATATATGTAACGTCGCACAATGTTACTTTTTAAAAGAAGGATATTAAATTAATTTACAATATCATTTGTTTCTTTTTTACATCACAGTTTTCTTATTCTTAAATATTTAAATGACAGACTTACATGTATGATGAGTTCACTCACATAATTTTAGCATTCTAATAGATATGATTCTAACCTAACAGCAAACTCAAAACCAAGTACTGTACTATTATCACTCATTCATTATATTATACATGACCTACAATATATATGTAGTATAAATAAGCGTATACATATCCTTAAAAATTGCTTTTAAATATTTTTTTGATATATTAATGAAGTATTTATTATATTTCAACACATCCATGCGAATTTCTAATTTCTAATAACAATTATATCTTTCTTTGATTAGAAATGCTATATGAATTTTTAGAAGAGTAAAATAATTAGGATTAAATATTATGTAAGGATAGGTGTATCAATAATTGAAAGACTAATATTTTGCTTGTGACTAAAAATCCAAAATATAAATAAGTAATCTTATGGTCCAGAACGTGGTCTGGATGTAAAAGCAAAAATATATAGACAAATATTATATGTAAGTTTTGTTGAATAACACGAAGAAGTTCTTGTTTTAATTAAATGGAAATTAATATCAATCTTCTAAATTAGGGGGTCCATCTTGATTAGGAGTTTAATTGTTTTTAAGTATAACGCAACATAAAAATTTCTGTTGTGCTTAACATTGAAACAGTTTCTTAACCCATCCAGTTCACCGCAATGCAGCTATCCGGAAAAGTATACTTCTTTTACAACTCAAGGGTTTCTACAATAGAACATTCATTCATGAACAAACTTTTGATAAACTGTTCGATGGAAATTCTGTATCAATATATGTGTACAATATGTACATGAAAGAATTTTATTTATTTAAAAATGCCTTTTGCATGTAACTTGAACGTAAAAGAATAAGTTTTAAGTAAAATTATTTTTTCATCCTTTAGTGGTATTATTCTCATTAAATAATGTAAGAAACTCAATTTTTTATTTTGCATAATTTTTTCCACAAAATTTTGTGACGATGAAAAATAATATTGTTTTATTTAATCTTTAAAATTATATTGTTAGAATAAAACCTTAGAGACGCAATTGTATTACAATTTTATGTTCAAGCCACGATGTTTTATTACTCATTAGTCTTAACGATACCAAATGTAATGACTTTTAGTTTTTTAATTGAGTGTTTTATTTAAATAAAATATGGTATGTGTGATTAAAAATATATCTATGTATGTATTATACATTATTAGATATAATAAATATATCATAGAAAATCTGTAAAAAAGCACCAAAATACAAGATACCTTATTTCTCAATTTTTTCGAAAGTTTTATAACATGATATTGATTTCCAGTCAACCGTTTTTATAAAGACAGAAGTTTATTAACGGTTTAAATTCAGCTTGGGTCACCAAGTACGTGATATCGAACTATATTGGGGCTTGATAAAAGTGAAAAATATGAGGTCAACGGTCATTGTTTTGCACAGTAAATCGAGTAAAAAATATGTGATGGAATTTGCTATAAATTTATTTTAATTACTTCTCTTTTACGGGAAGAGATTACACCTTTATATCATGGAGTAAGGCCTACTACGGTTCCAACTTCTTTATTTTACGAAATCTGAAAATTATCATATGTACATAAATGTCGCTCGAACAACAGAAAAGTTTTAGCTATTATAAAGTTTAGATTGTGGTCATTTGAGAAGTAGCAGTTAGTAATATTATGACAAAATGTTGTACATCCTTTTTAATTATGCGTAATTTTAGGAACTTGCAGAATTTTCGTGTCGAAAACTGATGGAATAGGTTATATTAGTGATGAAAAAGTAACGTTGTTTTAGAGTTCCATTAAATACGTTTATAATATTTTCTACTTTTGTTAATACTATGTATAACGCAAGTAAAATTATAAATTACTGTTCTTAAAGTTTCACTGTCATGATGTTGCATTGGTAAAAATATCCGTCAGTGGATAAAGAAATTTCTAGTTATTCTGACGAAAATAAGAAAACAAGACTATAAATATTGCAGATTTGGAGGTACTCGTTTATACCTGTCACCTGCCTAAGTAGCCATATCCCAAAATTTACTGTCGCTTATTATTCTGTGGTGGGTAGGGGTCTTACACGGGGAGACTTTGAGTTTTTATAAAATAATGAAGGTTTGGCCGTCGTCAGCTCTTCCACTATCAAAAATGATATTTCTGTAAATAGAAGGTTTTAGCAGTTACATTAAATAATTTAAGTAATTAATAAAACACGTAAAGAACACATTTTTAGAAATTTTAATATCCAAATAATTATGATAAAATATTGTTGCTATGTTGTAAAAAAGTGTTAATATAAGATTAAAAAAAGAAATCTTTTTTTTAAACAATTGCATACCTTTAATGCGAAAATAGTTTACTTATGCAACTTCAAGAAACGATCATATAAACAACAAGAGTAAAATTTTAAGTGATACGATTTAAATATGATAGAAATTGTTTTTACTTTAGAAGTAAGTTCTTCTAAAGATAATTAAGGTAACTCATTTCAAAAAATTCAATATTTTGAATGATAATATGTATATAATCTAACAGTAATGTTTTTTTTGATAAAAGTTAACATAGTTAAAAAGACTATATGTGACTCTCTAAGATCAAGATTATTGAAATTTATTCCAGATCAGTTTAAATCCTGTGGTTATTTGCCAACACAATAACTTACGAAGCTTTAAATTACTGCCAAGTTTTTTTTGTACTCTCTTTGATATGGTAGCACCACTTACTCAAAGAAGTTTATTATGAAAAATCTATAAGATACAGATTTAAAATGTGAGAGATGAAATATCGAAGACCTTCTGTTTCACTTTAATAGTACACCCCCTATCTCTTTTAAAAGCCTATTTATTGAAACTTGTAGTCTTAAAAATCAAATAGATGAAATTTTAAGAATTTTGTATTCAATCAAGGTTCGCCATAACCTTTTCTGAATTAGTATTGCGATCGCGACCTTTAATTTACATTAACCCGATGTTTAAACCTTTGAATATTCATATAAGAGTTTTTTTTAAATATTAACATCAAATTTATTTGTGACTACAAAATAAGTAAATTGAAGCTCGTCAACTTCAGATATTTCGAATAGAAATCAACGTGTCTAAAAAAAAACATATTTATATAACTCTTATTTCACTACTGAATATTGGTATTAAATATAGTAGTCTTTTCAGAATCGATGATTTGTAGATACTTGCATCTTCAATACTATAAAAATAACTTTATTACTTTTTTTGCAGAAAAATAAACATTATATGCACTTGACATTACTTACATGCCTCTGTAATTATGCATAATATGATGGTTTATAGAAAATAAAAATATTTGTCGCTTTAACTTTAATTTTTACACAAATCTTCTTCAACTAGTACATATATTTAGTTAGTACATAAAAACTTGTCCTTCATTTTATTGATAAAATATTTGTATTTTGTGTTATACAAAAGAAGTAGAAAAGAATAATTGATTGTAGTAATGACTCCTTAAATTATCTTTACCTATTTACCTTTACGACGCAAATTGCAACAAATGTATTTTTCTACCTATACATTCTGAAAAGGGAAAACATTAAAGGCATTTTCTATTTCCTGAGGATATTAGAAAGAACGGAAATTATCTTCCAGTAGTATAAAACGGGCGACAGCAAAGATAAAATGATTAACCTAGATTTCTTAGGAAAACGAATTATATACAAAGTTTTAAACAAATGAAAGAATTCTATCGAGAAAGCTTGTATAGGAAGAAAGGTGCATAAAATGAAATGGATGCAGGTAATAGCACCCCAGCTTTCTTCTGTCGGAGAGCTCTACAATATTCTGTAAGTTTGTTTAAGAGCGACTGAATGTAGGCAGTACTATATTTATATAATATATATCAGTGAGACTAACGTGGTAAAAGAAATATATAAATGGAGTACGGACTAACAAATTTGTTCCAATGGACGAATAGAAACATTTCCCATAAAACCCCCTTGGCCATGATCAGCTTTTATTCGTAATTCATGTTCATAAGGTACGATAAATTGGTCATGTTCCG